AATTTAGATATTATTTTTATTAACCTGTACTATGACAGAGGTCTCGTCAATGTTATTTGTAGTTTTAAGATTATATACAGTAGAGTTAAATAGTTTAGATACATATATCGCAGTACCACCACCTCTATTGGTGATTCGGTTACATCTATAGGAGTTGTACGTAGGGATGTTTAGCCTTTGGAAAGGCTTAGCGTGGGTCTCGGTAATAGCAATTATATCTGGTGAGTAGTCCGAGATGAAATCTATAAGCTCAGCCATTTTGTGGTAATGTTGTTGGCATTCCACAAGATTATCTTTAAGGCAGTAAAAGTATTATTGCTGTTCATTTTGTTCCATTAAAGTTTCGTCATTTTCCTCATTTTCTAGAGGGTTTATCTTAAGTTGTGAGGTAACTTCGCTAATGAGATGCTGTAGATTTAAGGATACATCAATAGCTTGTTTTAATAGTCGAGGTAGCATTGAATCAACTTTATTATGATCGCCCTTTACAGCATTAGCGTAGGATTTGGGGAACTCGCTGGGAGTGATTGTGGATTTCCTTTCAAATTCAAAGGATTTTGTTCTATTTGAATTATTTTTCTTCTTTTCTAATATTGCAATACATTTTTCACATTTACAGTAATTTGCAGAATGATCTTTTCCGCAGTTACAACATTTCGGAGTTATCATTTTTCCTTTATCGCAATCTTTTGTAAGGTGAGCTCCTGCGCACTTCACGCACCTTGCGGGGTGACTGCAGTTGCTTTGGCCATGAAAATAATTCTGATCTGTGGCATTGTGTAGGCCTGTCGTTCTTCCTATAATATGTTCGTTCTTCTTATAATATGTTCTTATAACGTCGTTCTTCTTTCTATTTCGATTTTCATACTGCTAAGATATTTTACGCTATATATTTTTTTGTTTTGCATTGCTTTGTCTAGATCAACTACAAATATGGGCAGTAGCCCCCATCCCCCCGCCCTCAAGCTATTGGACGCATTCTTGGGTAAATTCTAAATTCCCTCCCCCCCAACTATTCGTTTTATTTAGTGTAAAAATCCCCCCCCCCCAAGCTTTAAGTGGGCGCCTGGTGGGGGCCCCTGAATATGGGTAGTTTTCTTTTATCGCCATCTCTACTTCTTCTCTCTAGCTGAGTGATTTTACTAGGGCATAGCCCGTGAGTTTCAAGTTCTGCTTGTATATTTATTATAGGCGTGTCTGCCGGGAGTTTTTTAATAACCACTCTGAGCTTTCTCTGCTCTGGTAACGAGTAGGTATGATACGCAAAGCTGCCTTTTTTTAAGATGGGTTTCAATTTGGTTTCTGGTAGCCATATCCTTTGTTTTGATTACAAAATTCTCTCCACTCATTTTTCCGTTAAAGTCAGTAATATTGGTTGCATTGAGCTCTTCTCTATAGTAATTCCATTTGAATTTACTATCTCTTACTATGAATGGGGGAGGGGGTAAGGTGTTTTTTGGTATTTGAAAATTATCATCTTCCGAGTTGTTAACATTATCCACGCTATCCATTTGCTCATTATTGTTGCATGGGGGAACTTCTGTTCTTTTAACTTTTTTAAATTGTTTGTGAGAGTTAGATATGGGGGGTGGGGGGAATCGGTGTCTAAATCATTACTCTGGTTTTTATCTAAAAATGATTTAAAAAGGGTGGAGTCTACTAAATGTTGCTCATCCTAAAATTTAGCTAATTTGCTACAGGTAAGATTCTGGAGTTCAGAACTTAGAGTAGAATCGTCATTAGGTTTCTTTTTATAGTTTCCGAAAGATTCATTAAGTTTTTTAGCGTTATCATAAATATCTTTAGCTTTAGTCTCAATTTCATTTTTATTATCACCGAAGAACATACAGCAAAAAACTAGTTTTAAAGTGCTCTCAACCATATTTGTAAAGTCATTTTTGACTGAATTTTTCGTTAATATAATTCTCATTTTCGGTATCCTCATCGGTAGTCAATTGTACCTCGTTTGTCATCTTATTTTTCCTTTTTTTGGATCTTTTTGTCCTAACCGTGGTTCTGAAAGGCTTCCAGTCGGTCCGTGCGGTTTGGGCGTAGCCGTCCCCGCCGGTGCCGAAAGGGTGCCAGACAGCCCCGAATCCTGTGATCCTGATCCATGGATCGCAAATCCTATGTCCCTTTCATTAACGAGCTCTGATAAGAGCTGGGGTGCATAGGTATCTTCAGGATTGTTAAGTTCTACTAGCGGGATGCCCAACCGCTCGGGGGTCTGGCCCCCGCAGCACTTGGACTGCCCTTCGTTAGAGTACTCCAAAGTCGGAGAAATCTTCGTATCGATATCCATCTGCTTGCGGAAAGAATCCGTAAGAGCCGCTGCTAGAACACGACCTACTCTCTGTTTGGTTCGATGCTCCTCTCTGGTCGGGTCTGGTCTCCTGTGCGCAGAGTACCTATACCTATGTCAAGTATTTACCTAAGTTTCGGCCCCGCCAGGAGTCCTAACTCATTCGTCTCAGTGGTTATATGGTGTTTAGCCTAAGCTCAATTCAGTGGGGGGTATGAATAAAATACACAGTGAGTTATGAATAAAGAGAAGATATATACAAAGATATTTACAGGAATAGAATAATTGAAGTAGAATCTCAGCTCCTGCCTGCCTCGCCTCCCCTCTTGCGGGCTTCATGGGTGCACAGACAAAAGCCTTGATTTGTCGAAGAGAAATAATTACAATTAGGTGGTGAAGCGTTTGGAGAGAACGCCGTCTGAGAGAAAAAATACCGTTGCCGGGCTGTAGTTAATGTTATCTCTGAGAAGTTCAAAGTCAAAAATTTGGTAGTAGTTGCACATTGTGCATCTTGTCGCGTCTTTGAAAAATGTGGCACATAGTAGAACCATGTGTTCTTGCATAGAGCTAATTTTAGGTCATTTCTAATATCACTCATTCTAAGTCTGCGGGGAGCTCCCGTGAATCTTCTGATCATTTTATTTTGGATGGTTTCCAATTTTCGCTTTTGTGTGGGCTTTAGGGCGCTCCAAGCTGGGGCTGCATAACTGATTATTGGTCTTATGCATTGCAGGTATAAGGTCCTTTTTGTTTTAAGGGTTAGTTTTGAGTTATGACTCAAAATTGGTTTGAGGGATTGGAATGCACCTTCAGCCTTAGCTGTTATTCTCGAGATATGAGAGTTCCAAATCATGTTATGGGTGAGGGTCACTCCTAAGTAGAGTTCGAGCAGAGTAAAGTTCGAAGCTTCTTAAATACTGGGGAAAGATACAAGGTTGCCGATCGTGTGTGTGTGTCATCCAGCTGATTCCTTTGGCAACTACGCTCCATGCCTGGCACCACAGACTTAACATGTTACTCTTTTGTTTCTAACTTTTCTCCTACCAATTATGACATCCAATCTTCCATCGGACCACCTTTCTCAAATATTAGTGTTTTTTTTTGATCAAAAAATAAATTTCTTCAATACATAAAATTTATAAGAAGAAAACTATTTTATGGATGGTGTTTTCAGTAGAAATGTAAACAATAACAATTTCGAGCTCGTCACCTACTCTAGTTCCGGTTAAAAAGTTTGCAGCTGCTTACTACATGTTATTCTGATAGGCGATGTTTTCAAACGGATAATTTTGTTTTCAATAAAAGAAATAAATTAGATAATTTCTGAGCTCAAATCTGCCGTATTTCATAAGATATTAATGTTATTATGTAATTCTGGGGAGTTTGGAGTGAAAATTTGTTTTAGTTATTTTGTTATTTATTATTAAAAAAGGTGACATGGTTGCTAGATTTTGAATAACTCGCTTTTTTGGCAGTCTTGATTTGGCCTCTTTCCATAAGTTTATTACTGTTTGTTCTTGTTGCAAGCTGCGCACCATCTTGCGTTAGTGTTAACACTTTTAGCATTGTAAACACGAGTATTGTAAACACAAGTAATAAGTAATCAAATACATTGTTTGCAAAAATCTCAAAACACAACGATGCCAAATGGCTTTAAAATACAACGGAAACAGTAACCCGGAAATTTAGGTGGTACCTATCTTACAGCGTTCCCTTGAGTGAAAAACACCATCCATTTTTAAGGAAAAATTATTTGTCCCCGTTGTTAAACAAGCGACCCAATTCGGACTATCAATGTTCAACTACGCAGCCTTGTAATTTTGAATTCAGCTGACAAGGAAACTTCTGGATCAATAAATTATTGGGATAAATGTATCTTTATGGCAGATTTTTTTGATGAAACATACCCAAATTGAGTCACTTTGAAAGGAAAATCACGAAAACCTGACTAGCACGTTAGCCTGGTGGTAAGTGGACTCTAACCCATGATCCATCTACCACTAAGGATATTTTACGTCAGCACTGTGGTCGGTGCGAGCCAGGTGTAAAATTTGTATCGACCAGCCATTGCTGGGATTCGCGCCTAAGTAACCAAACTGATAGGCAAGCTCTCAATCCCCTTAACTACCACGGCTCAGATATTTATTCGGAAAATTTTATGTTTGTTATTTGAGGAAAATATTAACTGACTAAAACTAAATTTTCATGACTGTATAATTATAAATAAACAAATCGCTCTATAATTTATTTATGTTTCTATATATATATAATTTCGAAGTCAATTTAATTAGAAACTTAAACTTACATAAAATGCAGTTTTTTTTTTTGGATCAAAATTTTAATTTATCCTTTATAATAAATTTTGTCAAGACATAAAATATTATAGCAGAAAATTATTTTTTTATTATTATTTATAAGATTATTTTATTGTTTAGAAAAATTATTTGGATACGAGTTACCCTTTTCTGGATGTTATTTCAGAATTTTTTTACATTGATTATTTGTGTTACTGACTAAATTAAATTTACATGACTGTGTTTGTTTAAATTGATAATTTTGCGGTCTCAGTTTGTTGGAGGTGTGGCAATTTATTATTACTTTATATATTTTATTTAAGTTTTTGAAAATAGAAAAACGATATTTATACCACATTGTTTAAAGAACTCTTGTTTCATATAACTTCATTTATTTCTTACAGTTGTTCTGAATAACGATGTTGTAAGACTTTTTGTTACAACACAACCACAAATTAGCCATTTAGCAAAATCAACAGCGATCAAAAGTATAACTCTTTCGAATTGGGATACATCAACAGAGAAATCATCACACTGTGTTTGGAAATACTTATAAAAACCATTTAGTGAAAATCATTAATTGTTCTTATGACTGTATTTTGATGTTTAATAAATATTAATACGAGCGTTATTGTTATGGTTTCATGCTGAGTTTACATTCACAGTCGTTGATCCGAATTAATCTTTCAGAAGTATTTCCATAATATCACCTGTGGCAGAATTTTTTCAAGCTATTTGCGACAAAACTCACTAGAACTTATACCTTTCTGCAAGACACTTTTAATAATAATAAACATATATGTAACTAATTTAAAATAACAAAAACGCTGTTTGCAAAAAAACATATAATTTTTTTAAAATTGAATACGTAAAAATATTTTATTCTAGTATTATGGGTGATATTCTCGCATTTTTGGGGGGTGAGGGGGAAACGCACTAATTATTTCCTTCTTCGCATTTTGTAAATAATCACAATTAAAAAAAAAAAAAATTATGAAATCCGTTGCCGAAAAAAAGATCGACGACGAAATCACGCGAATAGGACCCATAAATGCGTGTTTCGTTTCGAGATTAGATTGTTCTAATAAATATCATATAAGAAATATCGGATTTAAAATCTATGGAGAAATCAATAGCAATAACTGCTAAAAATTCGATAAAATCATTTCCTTAAAAAGTAAAAACTCAAATGCACGATTCGAATTTTCCATATTGTTTGAAATATATCGAGACATTTAAAAACCACATGACAATCAATATCAATAACTGACGAAAATTCAATCAAAACATTACATCGATTTACGATACTATCGGCGAAAATTTAGCGCGTCAAAAAGTGATTAGCTGAATGTATGACTCAAATATTACGTTCAAATTTCTGTATAAAAGAAAAGTCAAATTTTTTACTTTTCGAAAGAAAAGTCTTTCTGCAAGAACTCTGTAATGTTCTGCCACGGGGAATATCGGAAATAAGTGTATATTCGATCACTTTATATCTAAATTTTATTGTAGTCAATTTTAATACTCTTACTGTAGAATGATGATTTCCTTATAATGTTCACAGAAAAAGATTAAAGAAATTAAATATACATGGAGACTTTACAGGTTCATTTTCAAAAGACAAGATTCTCTCTCTTTGTTTGGGTTGAAGCTGTAATCATAAGATTGGATGAATCTCTATTATAATGAATGGTTTTTGTGCAGAATGGATGCATTTTACAAATAAAGATAAAATTTCTAATTAATTAACGATATGCAAAGTGATTTTATTAAAGTTCTCATCTAATAAGAAGGGCAAATCTACAATTAAAATATACTTCTTTTTAGGTTTAAGATCCCTTAATTCTATTTGGCTATTTAAGATGCTCTAAACATTATTTTTTTATTCTTATTGACTAGTGTGATTCTGATTAACTATTTGATTAATCTGCAGAAAACAAATGAATAGAACTACGGGATGTAAAAACTGCAAAAACAATTAGTAGAAACGGCAAACTTTTTTTTTCAATTCAAATTTCTTTTCTTTTTTTTCCAAACAACTACGGGATGTAGAAACTGCATGCAAACAATTAGTAGAAAACGCAAACTTTTTTTTTCAATTCAAATTTCCTTATTTTTCAAGATTTAGGTGCGACAATGAATTAATGAGTCTTACATTAGTATCGAAATAAAAAGTTAGCCATTACATTGATGGTTAAGAAAAGAATAACATATTTTATATTCGCTTTTTATAAAATTAAAAAAAATTAAATAATTGGTTTAATTTAATTCAAATTCGATTAAGTATGATTAAAAAAATAAATTTAAGACATTTTAAAAGCTAGGAAATATGTAATGCCTATTTGTTGTGGCATCACAATAATAATCAACATTAAAAGATACCTTTTAGAATTCATCTGTTTTTCTTACACTCACAGATTGTCTTCTTGAAATTACATCCTAAATTCCTATCGTTCATTCAAACATTCATATTAATTACTTGTTTTATATGCATCTAAATTTTGTTTTCGTTGAACCTCTCCAGCAGTTTATAGAATGTAAGGTTAAATACAGCACTTCGACGGGTATTTGGCAATACCACACTTTTTTACTGTTGTACTAAAAATCAAATTAACTAACCAACAACCTTACGAGTCTATAACTTGCACATCGCATTCACTCTAACTTGAGATTACCAGATGAAAAATAAGACAAAATATGCTTTCGCTATGCTTTTAAGTTAAACCAAAGTAGTTATTATAATTTATTAAAAAATATAGTGAGGATGTTTTTTTTTTAAAAAAAATTGTACAAGAAATATTTGCGAAGAAATAAAAATATTTTATTAATAAAAAATAATCTAAAATTTTAATAGCATGTTTTATTGGAATAATATTTTAAAGATTTTATTTAACTTTTATTGTAAGAAAAATGAAACTCACAACCTGCTTTAGTTTAAAGATGTTCGTGGTTAAATGAATCTTAATGAAAGGAAAATGTAAACCTTTTCAATGTAAAGATTTTTCAAGAAGTTAACAAATGCACATTACTTACTACAAAAACAATAGGTAATCTAAAAATGTTATCTGTAAAGTAATAATTTCGTACAAACATAAAATAATTCATATTTTTAAGATTTTAAAGTATGATTAAAAATTCGTCATATCCAAGGTTCTCACTCAAATCAGGAAGAAAAAAAAATCACACACAATCTGTATACATTACACACAATATATTTAGAGGAAATACAATTGCTGTGCTCTTGTGTGAGCTATATTGGGCTAACTATACTAGTTTTAATTGCAGGAAAGAAAAAAAAAGAACAGCTGAAATACCATCCTTAAATATCCAATAGATTACACTTTAAGTGGTCACTATTTTTAATAAGACGAAAATAAGAAATAAGATTCCGTTTTTTCAGAGGATTTTAAAATTCTCTGTTTTTTCCCTGTTCTCCTGCGGAGTGGCAACCCTGATATCTACAAAGAGGGGGGATGCATAAATGAAGAGATTTTACTTTGATAACTAGAATTAACTAAAATTCATATTTTTCTTTCTGAATTCTAAAATGATTCTATAGAAATATCAGATTTTAAATAAATGATAAATAATTTTATCCAATTTCATGCGAATTCAAACTAAGGTAAATAACGTTAAAGAGCACAAAAATATTATTAAAAGCAGACAGCTGTTTCGGATGCTCAAAGCGCAACCTTCATCAGTGCAACAGAAAGAAATGAGAGAAAATAAGAGTAAATATATAGAGAAAGGTGACGTCACAAGGGGTCTAGAGCAAGGGCCAATAGGAGGAAAGGGTGAAAGGATGACAATGAATGGGAAGCAAGGAGCAAAAAGGTGGGGGGGGTTAGTTAGGTTTAATCATAGATTTCCAAACAGGAGAAAGATAAGGAGCGCTGGATAGGTCATTGACCAACAGTTTGGAATTTTTGAAAATATTATAGGACTCATAAAAATCTAAATCAAAAATTGAAGAACAATTTTGAATAACTTTAGAAGAAGAAAAATCAAAATTATGATTAGAGTCCCAACAATGTTGGGCAATAGATGAGCATTTAAATTCTTGTTTTTTGACATGGCACTTTAAGGCACGCTTAGTTTGGCCAATATATGAAAGGCCGCATTGGCAATTAATTTGGTACATACCCCAGCTACTTTGACCGTCAATGGGCTGCTTGAGATTAGAAAATTTTATCTTATTAATGGGACTGAATATAATATTAAAATCAAACTTCTTTAGGATATTAGCAACTTGCCGACTTATTTTAGGAAAATAGGGTAAAATGACTAAATTGTTAGAAAATTCTTTGGAAGGTTTATCGGCAGGTGATTGTGATTTTTTTTTTCATGCGAATTGATTAAAAGAAAATTAGGAAAATAATTGAGTCATTATGTGAGTTTTAACAGTTATTTTATCAATTCAAGACAGAAAATCTGGAGTTAGCCTGAATCTTATAACAAGTTCAAAATGAAATTGTGTAAAAAGTTTAACTTTATAATAGTTTTATTGTAAAACAATATTTACTGAATTACTTTTTTTAAAACCATTTTTATTCCCCTTTCCATACTCTTCATTGACAAAACAATTTATTTTCAAACTCAAATTGTTGGTTTTGCAATATATAATAGTTTTTTTTAAATAGAAATCACAAAGTTGAATTTATTGATAATAAATTAGATAAAAATTTTGCATTGACGCGTAAGAGATTTATTATTTTTTCTTAAATAATTATTACGAACACATTATTAAGCTGCAAAAATGTCTTCTATAAATTTGTTTTTTCCCTAGAAGTCTTAATTGCCAGTTTTGGGAACTTAAGTTCCAAATCAATTAATGAAAGTAGAACCAGTTCCCGTTCATTTGTGAATAATTGATTAATTCTTGAATTCTTGCAAGTTAGACAGGGCAGACTTAATAGCAAGCAGGGACCCTCTAACATGTTATATTGTTCAAAATCGCACTAAAAAACTTCACATACAAAAAATAAAGCATTTTTAAGATATACAATAATTTTAACAAACTTTTTTATCACCCCAAAATCTAAATGCACATAAAATAAAAGATTTTTTAAATTATGTATATTTTTTATTTAAAAAAAAAAATAAGAGATGCTAACCAATTGCAATCCTTAAATAAGAAAATAATCTTCAAAACCAAGAAACTAATTAAAAAAACACAAGGGTTTGACAAATAAAAAAATTCAAAAGGTATGAATTATTTCATCACATTATAGAAGAATAGTCACATTAAGAAAAATAGATTTTGGTTGACTTTTTAAGTTTTCCTGGTGATAAACTATTCAATTAATTGGTGTTTTATTATTTATAGAAAAAAAATGCACACTTTTCATATAATATATTTATTTTAAAAATATATAATGCAATGTTTTTGCTCATAGTTTTTTTTTAAATACAATATATAAAAAGTTAGATTCTCAAGGACTCCTGAGTGCATGTGTAAAAACAGTACTGAAGTTAGCTGAAAAAGATTGAGAAATTTTAGCTTTAACCGTTAAACTTAAATATAGATCATTTAGTCCCTGAAGCTTCGCTTACATAAGGTTTTAATGTAATAATCATTTAGGAATAAATGAACAGACACTTAATGGCAGATATCTTTATTTTGAATGAAATCTATAAAGGTTTTGAAGAAGACAAATTTTTCTTGCACAAATCAAACATATTTTCATTCAAAATTCTCTCTTCAGATTTGCTACTAATACAAATAAAATAAATAATGAGTTCTGCCTTCAATCGAGTATGTTACTTTATTAGTTTTAAAAAATATAATAGCACCGTTGAGCTAACCATTAAGTCAATCACAATGTCCTCTTTCTGAAAGACTGCAGTATTTCACCTCAACTTGAAAACAAGGAACTTTAAATAAAAACTTGATAGATTTACAATTTGGAATGAATAGAAGCCCAAAATGCACAGCATTATGTACAAAACTTAGTCCAAATGTGATGAAAATTGACACATGAATGACATAAATCACAACAAGATCACTTATTCACTTTGAGACATAGGTGTATGTGCGAGAAGGCGATCTTGTAGATGCCTCAGAGGTTGTAAAATTTAGAAAGTCCCATATTAGTATAGTATCATCGTGAGAACTGCTAACAATTTGAAACTCATCAAATTGTAATCTAAAAACACGACCAGAATGCTCCTGGAAAGAAAAGGTTAAAATTATTTTGGGTAAAGATACAATAAATAGAGAGTATAAAGTTTTTTTTAACAAATCACTCTTGCTTTTTCAAAAACCTTTTTGTTTTAAACTAACGCTGTATTAAAAAAAGTATTAGAATTTGTTTTATTTTTCTTGCAGCATTTCTAATAGCTAAACATTTACTCAGCCTCAATAAGAACACAAAAAGGGTTGTTGAAAAGATAAGAGCAGACAAGATTTGTTTCTCTTTAAATTATATAAATGTTTTCATAAAAGAATCGATTCAGAGTCATGCTGGTTCAAAGGATAGGGCGCACCCTTCCAATAAGGAGAACTGAATTAAAATCCCAGCAATAGCTGGTCGATAAGAATTTCGCACCCGGATTGCACCGACCACAGCGCTGCCTTAAAATATCCTGAGTGGAAGACAGATCATGGGTTAGAGGGAGTGAGGAAGTTTTCTTACAATGCTCTCCAAAGCCATGTGACCCCTCTAACATAAATAGAGGGGGTCTGGAAGTAGAAGAGTCTCGTCTTAAAAAGGACATCATAGGCTTATCAAGTGGCTTATCAAGCTTCAGGTTTTATTTTATTAACATAACTGCCAACATGGAAAGGAAAAAATCCAGTAGATATAACGAAATAATATAAATTTGATGTACTAAATAATAATGCATAATTAACTAAATATTTTATACATAGGGAATTTTATGGTCACCAAAATAGAAAAACTGCAACATTTTCTAGTTATGATTAACATTAAAATACTTGAAATGTTATGTATCATAATTTTGAATTGTAACAGGCATTTAATTCATCAAAAATAGTTATAAGATTTCTTAATTATTTTAAAAAGGGAATTTTACATAAAAATAAACTGAACTTTTTAGAAAAAAAAAGTTTTTAACTGATTTCTACAAATGAGGTTTGCTTTATTATGTATTAGTAATACTTATTTAAAATTCAGGCAAGCAATCTAGGCAAATATTCTATTTCAATGGGGATTTACTTTAGGAAAGTTACTCAATTTTAGGAAATTTTTTAAAATGTAAAAAAACTAGGAAAATTTATATCAAACCAGTAGAGCAGAAGAAACTGGCAAAATCCAGTAGAGTTGGCAGCTATATATTAGGCAAGAGGGCAATCTATTTACAACTGCCCTTTCTATTTGACTAGCTTTGCTTTAAAGTTCACTTACTTGGATTATTTGTTTATTAAGTTTTCCTTTGTTTTTAAAATAAAAAATTATAAAAGAAAAAAGGTGTCTTGATTTATTGTTTATTATTTGTAAGATTGGGATTGATTTTTTAAAATTTTTTTCATTTTTAATAGTTTAACACATACTGTATATTCCAGCGCATAACGCACCCCGCTGTATAACGCGCACCCGTAATTTCTAATACTTTCTTTAAATGTTAAGATATACTCTTCATATAACGCGAAAATTTGGATTGTACATGTGCAATATCTCGTCTTTCAAGATCGTAAATAAAAAGTTTTTTTCCCTATCTTTTTCAAAAATAAAAGAACTGAATTTGACATGTATGTGAGGATAGAGTTGAAAGAGTAAAAATGTGATTCTGAGAAGAGATTGTTGTATTCAGCAGTGCAGGTGTGTGCAAGAATGTTGCTCCCCACATTCCAGAAGTAAGGGGGGAGGGGTATACGGAATGCTGTCTATCGTGTATGTCTCAAAAGCTTACCGCAAATCAGGAGACAAAACGCAATTCTTTTTCTGCCAATCGCACCATTTGATGCCCTGCCTTTGAAAAGTAAACATTGTAAGCTTTAAGAATTTAGTGTAGTTTTTAGTAGTAGACATGGCTCCTATCAAACGAAGCAAACACAGCGCTGGATTTAAATGCAAAGTAATTCAATTTGCGAAAGAAAATGTAAATCGGGCTGTGGCGAGACATTTTGGTATTGGGGAAAGCTCAGTGCGTGAATGGAAGAAAAATGAAGAGGAAATAATGGATATACTTAAGGATAAGTGGGCATTGCGTACAGGACTAACAAAATGGCCGATGTTAGTGGACAGTGTAGAAAACTGGGTTTTGGAAAATGGTTTGATTGCAACAAGAAACTGTGTTCGCTTGTTTGCTCTAAAATGGACAAAGATTAATCCACACAAGAGTGAAAATTTCAAGGCTACTGTGAGTTGGTGTAGCCGATTTATGGCTCGAAAAAATTTAGTTCTACGTGAAAAAACCAAAGTATCACAAAAACTACCAAAAGACTTGGATAGCAAATTGTTAAGTTTTCAAAAATATATTATAGAACTGCGGAAAAAAAAGGAATATTTACTTTCGCAAATAGGAAATATGGATGAGACCCCAGTCATGTTTGACATGATCGGTAATAAAACAATTGATTTAAAGGGAGTCAAAACTGTCAACGTAACAACAACGGGACATGAGAAATCTCATTTCACCGTAGCCCTTTCTTGCTTAGCGGATGGAACGAAACTAAAACCAATGGTTATTTTTAAGAGAAAAACTTTTCCCAAATGTAATTTTCCAAAAGGTATTTTTGTTCATGCCCACGAAAAAGGCTGGATGGACGAAAATGGTGTTAAATTGTGGGTAAAAAATGTCTGGCAAATCCGTCCAGGTTGCGTAAGAAAACCAGAACGCCTTTTAGTGTGGGACATGCTTAGGTCCCACCTTACAGTTAATACAAAAAAATTGTTGAAAGAATGTAACACTGATATGGCAGTTATTCATGGCGGATTGACATCATTATTTCAGCCATTGGAAGTCTGCTTAAACAAACCATTTAAAGCCAATTTAAAAAAACAGTGGAACACTTGGATGTTGGAGGGCGAGAAAACCTTTACGAAAGGAGGACATATGTGTCATACAAGTTTGGAAACTGTGTGCGAATGGACATTAAAAGCATGGGATGAAATTAAGCCTGAGATGGTTAGAAAATCATTAAAAAAATGCAGCATTTCAAATAATCTGGACGGATCAGAAGATGACTGTTTATTTATGGATGAGGGTAACACAGATGAGGATGACGAAACAGATTGTGATGACATGCCTGAAGAAATAACAGAAGACGAATATAATGAACTATTTATGTAATAACGAAAATCAATGAAGTATATAGGTAAAGGTATGCTATTTCTTTAAAATAAAAGTATTTTTCTATATTTAAATTTTTTAACCTATAATTTTTTATACTCGGCGTATATCGCGCACCCGTAAATTCCAATGTTATTTCTTGTATTAAAAGTGCCTGTTACACGCCGGAATATACGGTATGTGAATATGCGTGAGTATGTTAAAGCAAAGAAAAAAAAAATCAAAAACATTTAAACATAAAGATAATTTTACATTTTTTTTGCTTCATATATTTCAATCACTATTTGAATTATTAAAGTTCATATTATTTACTTTATCTTATTGTTGTTTATTTACTCTTCCTTTTCAGGGTGAATTCTCACCACATGTTTCATATCATTTCAGTTTTATAAAGATGGAATTAAGATAAAACGTCTGTTAGCATGTTTGTTTGATTATCAGTAGACTAAATTCGTTTATTGTTTTTTTCTTCTTTTTTTAAAATTTTTCATCGTGCTATTCTTAGTTCGTTCACTAGGAGTTGGCACTTGGCTTCGCCTTCATCACGTGATATTGGATGATAGTATTTCGCTATTTTGGGGAGAAGGATGTGAACAAGGCTGCTATTTGACGATCGTATAACAAAAATATTAATTTTGCAATCTTCATGTGCATATTTTGAACATGAGCATTTTATTTCATAAACTTGCTGATATTTCTCTCTTTTTATTGAATAGTTTGTTCTTTTTGATATATTTTGCTGGGGAAAATTTTTTAAATATAAATTAGCTAGAATAACGAAAGGTATAATAGCTGATGATAAAGCGAAGTAAGTGACTGAAAAAGAATTCACTGTTTGTGCTTGGCCATCACCTTCTACATCAGAAAGTCTCCACACGGTTTCTTATATGTAGTTTGTGCAGACTATTTACAAAGTGAACCAGTTGTGCGCATGAGCCCAAATTTTATTTTGAAAGTAATTAAAAGAAATTCATCATATATATTTGAGAATTGAATCTGTAGTGATAGACAAGTAAATAAGACAAACTAATCATATTAAAAAATTAAACAAATTTTTAGACATATATTTGTTACCACTTTTTTATTTTTACTAGATTTTCTATTAAAGGGCTCTTTCGTAAACTGGTTTGCCTTCATAGTGGTCTGATTGGACTACCTATAAAAAACCGTGTGACGGCTTTGTGCTCATTAGAGGTTATCTCGATTTCAAGCGAGGAAATGTTTTTCCTCATACTCCCCCGCGCTGAAATGAACTCTGCGTCCGAGGGGGTGCAGCCAAGTGCCAACTCCTGGTGAACGAACTATACCTTATCTACATTTTTAAAATTTTGTTTTAATCTCATCTTGAATTCTCTACTTTTATTTTGATTGTGTATCTACTATATACACAAACTTATAAAAGAAAGGAGACACCATATTTCAAACAAAATATGGCCACTAGTGTGGGTTTAATTTTAAACTATTTTAATTAGCAATAAAAGTGAAAATACAACGAGAAAATGTATTTATATCTGGTCGCACAGTGAAAGAAACCGTTTTTTGCAGTTAAACATGAAGAATAACAGCTACGAAAATTTACTACTCAATAAAATATTGCTTTTGTTAAAAAAACGTTTTTCAAAGTACACAATTAATGTATGAACCATAAATCAGTTGACGCTGTAAAGGCAACATTTATTTAGAATATGCATAATACTAAAAAAGAGTTGGAATTTGCAAATGTGGGAGTAAAGCAAGAACAATTAAATTTATTGACTCAGTCAAAAAGTAGCTTTTTGAATAACACACAATCAGAGACAGGGGATAGAGTGTTCGCCTCCCAATGAGGTATACGATAACTGCTTGATACGAATTCCGCTCCCATCTCGCACCGACCACAGTGCTGATGTAAAATAGCCTCAGTGGTAGACAGATCATGGGTTAAAGTCCCCTTGACGTCAGGCTAACTGTAGGAGGTTTTCCTCTCCATGTAACATAAATGCAGGTTAGTTTAATCAAAAAGCCTTCCACAAAGGCAAATTTCTGCCACTGCTTGTTCCAGTTCTCTCGTCTTCTGGATTGGGTTCAAAATTAGATGGCAACATAGGTGAATATTAGCAATCAAAACCCAAAAATTGGGTTGGGCGTTCAAAGACAGTTATAAAAAAGTTTAAAAAATGCTCGGACATGACACAAGCTCTCGTTGCTATGCACCCTTCACCTATATACAAAATTTATACTTGTGCATGACAAAACGACCTATACTTAAAAAATTACAGTCTGTATATATATATACAAATTAAGAAAAATAATTTTGATTCATAAGTTCCGATGCACAAGTAATACTTTTCCAACAATACATTTATTTAAAAAAATGCATTAAAATAAGAAATTAATTGAATACTTTTGAGATACTTTCGTGGTCACTGCAAATTTTATAGATTTGTTCACACTGATTACATATAATGGGGGTCATAATAATATATGAATTTTATTAAATCAAAAATAATTTTGTAAACGCTAAAATTTACTATTAGATTACTTGGGGTGCAGAAGTTGTTTATTTATGGTGAAAATTACAGTATATCCAATCTGAAGTTTTTTATTCCAAATAATTAATAAAATATAAACATGTTACTTACAACTAATGTTCTTAAGCATAAAGTTCCCGCAGGTGCTCTAGGATCCAAAGCAGCAGCTAAGTCCCAAACTTTTATTTTTCTGAAACAAACACTTATAATTAATTAATCACAGATAATGTAAAACTTTTTTAATGATAAAGCTATTTAAAAAAATACAGGGTATTCAATTAAATCATTCAAAATAAAGTGATTAGAAATTATACATTTCTATTTGAGAAAAACCGATCACTGGTCTAGTGGTTACTGAACTGGATTACAGGGCCAGTGGCTGAGTGTTCAAATCCTATCGTACGCATGGTTGTAAATTTCTTTCTCTCTGTATGATAGAGTGAATGCAACATTTATAAACGGGTTTGGGGTTGTATGACATGCTACTCCACCACCGTGGCTTAGACACAGAGTAATGATAAAAGGGTAGCTATTCTGGCATTTCTGAGACCAATGGGAAATAGACTCAAGTGCCCACCATTAAAAAAATATATATATTTGAAAAAACCCTAATAAAATAATTTAATCAACAAAACATTGCCGTAAATTTTTTCAATTTTTTTTGTTGAGATTTAACTAAGTATATCACATACAGTGAAAGAAACATAAATCACAATTTTTGTAGATCAAATAAAGTATTTCTATAATCCAAATAAATTGTAATTTATTTTATTTTATAACCATCACCAAACAGCAGACGCAATTTTGGGTTTACGACTACCAACATTCAACTACTTATAGCTGTTTTGTACCCAATCCAAAAGACAAGGGAACTCCTGGATCAAATACAGTAGAGAACCATTTACCCGGTATCCAGAAAACCGGGAAGAATTTTGCTTAGTTTTTCCGCTATTTTGAAGTATAACGATTATTTAAAAAAAAGTGAAAATTTGACTCATCTTTGAAGTTGAGCAGAGGGAAAGGGGGGAATTCTTCCCCTGACCTTGAAGATCATTAGATCCAGAGGGGGCAGGGAAAGGACAAATGTTTCATTTTCTCCTGTGTGTCAGTTGTTTTTCTGATAAGCTCCTGTCAATCAAACTTGAAGGAGTGGCATGCTGATTTCCTTTTCTCTTTGATTTATGAGGGTGTGGGGAAAATGCATCACACAAGCATATCAATGAATGTCCCAGTTAAGGAACTTGAAACTTCTGGCTAAGAGTATTGACATGTGAGATTTATTTTAAATCTACTTTACCTTTTGTTATCCTTTATTTATTAAGATGAATTGTTTTATTATTTCAGATAATGCATTATTTAATACGAACAAAACGTTTTTTAATCACCAGTTATATTCATCTATTTGACATCGATTAACAAAACAATATATATATTTTTTTCTTCGAATAAATTGATTAATTAATTTTTTTTGGATGTAGAATCACATCTGCTTTCATTAAAAGTAGTATTTTTATAAAAAATAAAATAAAAGGAGAAGATTGTTAATTAATTAAAGGCAGACGATTATTTTATGAAGCAGATAGCAGCTTTCTTTTTTTAATTTTGATTCAGTTCTTCTGATTCCACTGCATTTGAGTTTTTTTCTTTTTAAGATAAATTTCATACTAAATAAATTAATTCTTTTTATTCATAAATTTTATCATTAAGTTTTTTTTTTTTTTTAATTCCGTTGATCTTATAATATCCTGCCTTGTTCCAGGTTTTAATATTTATGTTAGCGCCTTTTTTTAACATCGTTTCAGTTCGATAATTTTCAAGTGCTGTTTTTATTTAGATTATTAAGTTTTCCTTTCATTTCCTATTAAGTTTTCCAACCCCCGTATAATTAGTTATGAAATATATTGTGATTTTTAATAATTGGTTTTGTTTTACATTAGTTAATTTGGGGATTTGAATTATTATCAAAAATTAAATATGTGAATTTTGAATTTTTTAAACTTTTTTTTCTTGTCTAAACTTGCAAATGTTTTTATCCTTTTAAATTATATTTTTCTACTGTAAAATACGGATAAAACGCCCCAACTCAAGAAAGTGCTCCCCATGTACGTTAATTTTGATTTCTCTACCATGATACTCTGATGTGTGTTCAAATTAATATTATTTCTAAAGTCTGTTTTATTCCTCCGCACCATGCTAAAAACCCTCTCACAGGAGGCATTGCCGTGGGGCAGTATCAATATTTTAATAAATTGTGAGAAGGTTAATTCAAATTAAACAATAATTACACAAATTGTAATGATTAAAAGGATTTTATTTCATTGTGGTTCAGTGGGTTGAATCCAAACTGAAACTTAAGAAGTGAAGAAAAAATAATAAAAAAATTGTTTGCGCTCAGCGCCATCTGTTATTATAAATCCTCAACACTCCCCACTTGAACTCCTCCGAGTTCACTAAAATTTTAAACATAAAAATTAGACAAAAATAACATAAACATTTTTAAAAAAAATAACATTTAAATGCAAATAAATTTGAAATGAGATGCAAATATTCACTTGAAAGAAAATAAAAAAAAACATAATCTAATAAGAAAATTAAAATAAAAACATTATCATTGTTCATTTCAGTCATTGAGTTCTAAAGGATAAATAAGTTGTACTGGGCGTTTATATTCGCCGTTGGATTTGCGAATAAGGCAAGATCTTACAAGTCCATCACGCCCTTGAAATACTTTTGTTATAATACCTATGTCCCATAATAGTTTTGATTTTGTGGTGCCCTCCATCATAACCACATCTCCCACTTTCAAACATTTTGTTAAGTTAGGAGAAGTAAAGTTGTGTGCAGATCTCAAATTAAACAAATAGTGCTCCTTCCAGTGCTTCCATAAATTAGCCAATAATGTAGCTTGGTATTCTTTTCTTCTTATAAGAATCTTTCTGCTGGATTCTCTATGGATGGTTTCTATGAAATGAGCTGGATACTCTGCCTTTTCTTTACCAGGGGTTAAAAATTGTGATGGGGTAAGAATTTCCGGTTCACCAATTTCGTTAGTGACGTAGGAAAAGGGTCGAAGATTAACGATGGTTTCAATTTCAGTCAATATAGTGGTCATCTCTTCAAAATTTAAGAGAGCTTTTCGAAGTATTTTCTTTGGAGGCTCTTTGACACTTTTTACCAATCTTTCATAAAATCCTCCCCACCAAGGGACAAGTTGGACGATGAATTTCCAGGATATTCTTTTAGCAGCAAGAAAGTTTTTGAATTCGGAATTTTCCAAAATATCAAATAATCTCTGAAGCTCTTTATCAGTACATTTAAAAGTCTTGGCATTGTTGGAGTAGATTGTATGACAACCACCTCTTCTAGAGAGAAATCTTCTGAATGCGAGCAGAAAATTTGAAGTAGACATGTCTGTGACTAATTCAAGATGTATTGCTCTCGTGACTGCACATGTGAACAAGGCTATATATGATTTCTTTATTCTATTTTCACCCTTGATGTAGATTGGTCCGGCAAAATCAATTCCGCATACAGTAAAAGCAGGAGTTTCACTAATTCGATCTTTTGGAAGCTGTCCAGTCATTTGGGTAGAAGGTTTGGCTGTGTATCTGCGACAAATCAAACATTTCGAGACCTTTTTTACTAATTGTCTTCCTTTAGGCACCCAAAATCTTCTCCAAATTTGTACTAAAGTGCTCTCTACTCCAGAATGAAATACATTTTCGTGTTCTCGCTTGACAAGCAACTCTGCAAATTTAGACTGTCTTGGTATGATTATAGGCTTTTTCACATCAAAAGAATAATCTCCTTCGGCCAATCTTCCTGTAATTCTCAGGATACCTTTTTCATCAAGATAAGGAGCAAAATTGAAAATAGTAGAAGAAGCTGGAATAGGCAAACTAGATTGGAGAGCTCGTATCTCACTTTCCCAGAATTTTGCTTGAGTAAGCTTTACTGGTATATCTTCAGAATTTCGGAGCTCTTCTGCAGTCAAAGTGTCCATATTCGGCTTAACTTTCTTTAAACAGTTCAAATATTGCACTACTCACGCTGTGATTCTAACAACTTTTTCGAGGTTGCTAAAGTTACCGATATTTATCAACTCAAGTTCTTCACCATCTACACATTTCATAACGGTGATTTCATTTTTACAATACTCAATTTGCTCATCATTTTCTTTGAAGAGTTTCAATTCTGGCCACATTTCGGTCGGAAGGGACAACCAAGGTGGCCCCTTCCATCAAATGTCGGAATTCTTCAATAATCCTCTGGGCACCAATGGGAAGCGCCTCTACTAATAAGATCGGCAGGATTGTCAATTCTGGGGCAGTGGAACCAGTCCTTAGGATGAGTAATCAGCATTGTAAAGGGTCCCAAAAATCCTACTGGATCAAAAATACGCCCAATGATTTTCAAAATAAATCGTTTTGTTACTTGCCCTGTGTCTATCAATTTTAACAGATATTTGGACTCAAAGTAAAATACATCTTTTTTAAGATCCCAACAAACTCCCAAAACTTTAAATGGAAAGCCTGATTGACCTAACGATTCCTTTTCATTCTGAACATCTATACCTGCATTCTTCCATAATTCACGTAATTTTTTATCATTTGTTTGAAACTTTCTCAATACCATGCCCGCATCCCGAAATATTTCAACACAATCAGAACTTATTTGAAATGCTGTATCTGTACTGTCACTTCCCCCTATGACGTCATCGACATATACCCTTTCATTTAGTAATTCATACGCAAGAGGCTTTGATTTTGCAAACTTTTTAATATGCTCTTTAATAGTAGCCGCTAAGAGAAAAGGGCTACAGTTGATACCAAATAGTACGCGGCAAAATCTATAAATTACTGTAGACGAATCATTATCGGGGTCATCTGACCAAAGAAATCTTGTGACATCTCGATCTTCTACATTAATCCCTATTTGTAAGAAAGCTTATTGAACGTCCCCTATAAAAGCAATCTTGTTTTCTCGAAACGCTAGCATAAGTTCATATATATCTGGGTATAAATTTGGCCCAATATACAAACAGTCGTTAAGAGACAATTCATTTTTTTTTTGCGCGGAACCGTCAAATACAATCCTTAATTTGCTAGTTAATTTATCGTTTCTTAAAACCGCCCTATGAGGTAAATAACATAGTTTATAATTTTGGGGATTAGTGTTTTTAACTTTCTC